AGAGAGAGAGAGAGAGAGAGAGAGAGGAACAGATTAACCATAAGTAGGCTAGAAACCATGTTCATGCTCATAGAAAGGAGACAAAAAGAAAAGGGAGAGGGGAAAAGTCACTTAGTCACTTCCAGGTTTGCCTGTGCTGTCACTAGTAGACAATATGTGGAGACAGAGTGCAGGTCCATGTTGATTTACCCCAGCAAGCCAGCAGTAGCTTTCTTTGGGGGTAGTGGATAATCTCCGAAAGCTTGCACCTTTATTTCCCCTGAAATAAGGCTGATTTGTGGCCATGAAGCTGACACCAGACCTAGTCAGCCTCCACCCATCAGTGCACCTTCTGAGGATTTGAACTCAGCTGGGAGCCACTAGATGGACCCAGCACCTGTTCTGACTTCTGAGCTCAGTTGGCCCCTCTCTAGGATGGCTCCTGGCTGATCACCCTCCCCTGAGGGTCAAACCATTCTGTAGCTCTTACCACTAGCTGGTGCAGTTCTCCATGTCCATAGTTCTCTTCGACTGCTGTGTCTCTCAGTGGACACCTCTGGGGTCGTCAATAGTCAGCTGTGAATCTGCAGGTTTGAACTTCTCCTCCAACAGTGAGTCCTGACTCAGGGAGAAGCCTCCACAGGCTACCTCCTTCTTCACTAAAGTTTCTCTCTTCGTGTTCTCTGTTGGCTTCGATTCTTGCTTCAGATCCTTCCTGGGTCCAGGGGCCCACTTCCCTCCTTTTTCTCTTCCTTTCATTGCTATATTCCAGTATCTGGGTAGCAACTCTCAGGGAAGCTCTTTCTCTCTTGCTTCTTACAATTCCCTCATCTTCCTGGAAGTCCTGTTGGATAACTTTGAAGGCAGTTATACAAGAAACTATGAAATAAAGCTGACTGCCCTACCCCAAAGGTTAAGGACTCTTTATTAAATAGATTGTCCTTCATTTGATTGTAAATGGCCAGCTAGTGGGGTTTCGCAATTGGGTGTACACATAGGATAGTGGCCAGGAACAGAGGGCTACTGACACATCAGGATCAGTGTCCCTACGTTGACTCATGGATAAATATAGTGCAGACTAGACTCATATGGCTTCAGCCTATCTAAGTGCTTATTAACAAAACTTAGAGGGTTTTGCTGGCATGAATGCAACACAGCTTTCACAGGTGACTACCAAAATGTATGTAAGGGCCAGGGATGTAGCTCAGTGGCACAGTGCCTGTCTGGTACAAGAACAAGTATGTAAATCATGACCAGGAGGCCAAAAACAGCTGATAGGAATATCAAAAAACAGACCTGTTGATAGCAGCACTCATCAGAGCAAGAAAAAAAAACACACAACAAAAATCACTAAGGGACAAAGACAAGGACACTGACAAAACAGTAGATAAACTAAGCTGAGATATCCCAGATTAGATCAACATGTGCAATGTAGAAAGAGACACTGGAGAAATAAATGCTCCAAAATGGTAACAGAGATGATAAAAATTCCACACTTAGGAGACTGTCTGTGAAAAGCTGTCACCCCAAGAAAAAAAATCCCAGATACTGGGCTTATTGGGCTGACAGGAACTAAAGGAGACCACAACTAGGCCAGACTGGGCTCCATCCACTTCAACAACCTAACCAGAAGCCCATGGTCCCAATGAAGAGCACAGCACCAATGTATGAATTTTTTCATAGGAGGTAAAACTGAATACTCAGCAGGGGCACAGCCCATTGGGCCATTATCCAAAAATCATGTGACTATTGTTAGAGCCACTGGAATTCAAAAAAAAGGTCATTTTCCAGTGTGAGAGATATATCACTAAAAAGAAAAAGAGGGCCAACATACGTTCCTATATCTTCCAAACCATCCATTTCTCCTGCTAAAAAGGGACCTACTCCATAATCACAGGCCCAAATTACAACAGAACATAACACAATGCAAGGCTGACGCTGAGGAATGCCTCACCCAGCCACACAAGCCATCAAAGAGTGAGCTTAAGCTACAAAAGGGGCTGATGGACAACACAGAGAGGCAATGACAACAAATAAGAAAGATCCTCTCACTGCAAGTGAGCTTTGAGAAAGCTGCTGCTGGCAAAACAGAGCTAAAACTAAGGCTGGGCCACATCTGCAGCAGTGCCAAGAACACAATGTGTCACAAGAAACAGGCAAACCTGGGAGCTACTTGACAGTGACAGTTACCAGACAAAAAAACAACAGCACTGTGAAGCTGACGAATGCAAAGGAAAGAGCCTGCCAGTTGAGGAGAAGCCACAAAACAACACAAAGCTACATAGGAGGAAGTCAAACAACTCAAAGCCAAGGTAAAAGAGACCCATCCCCTGTGGAGCAAACAGAACAAGAGTCAAAGGGCCGACCAGATAGTTCAGCGGACTAACGTGTCTGCTTAGGCAGGTGCAAGGACTGGGGTTCAAGTCCCCATGTGCCGTGCAAGCCCCACCCCTGGGGCATATTGAGATGGTGATTGAGATTGGGTGTGGTGGTGCACACCTGTAATCCCAGCACTTGGGAGGCTGAAAACAGGAGGATCACTACGAGTCCAATCTGTGTAGTGAGACGCTGAAGACCCTGTACTACCTACACTAAATAAATAAGTAAATAAATAGAACAAGACCCAATGCAACATGTATAGCTGCCCAAGGGGCTCTCCAGGAGCAGCTACAGACAGAAAAGAAAATGCGCAGACATGCCTGAGCAGCTAGGTGGTGAGGCAGAGGCAACTTCATGAATGACTGAGGGAGCCAAGAAAGCTTGACACCATGCTTAGCTTAAAAACAACACTTGGGCTGGTGAGATGGCTCAGTGGTCTAAAGCACCTACTTACAACAAGCTTAGCAAAGCACAGGGACAACGGTTCAATCCCCCAGCACCACATGCCAGCCAGCTGCGCCCCCTGGTGGGCCGAGCTGGCCACACACACACACACAATAAAATAAAATAAAATAAAATAAAATAAAATAAATTTAAAAAAAAAACCAACACTTGCCAGGAGGTAAAAGAGACAAAGCAACTAAAACAGAGGCACATCCCCAAACCAAGGTACAGACAAAAATAAAAATTGCAATGGTACATCTAAGAGATGACACACGACCACAAAAAATTTACAAATCGTTCAGAATTATTAACAATAACAAAAAAACCCTAATAACCAAATTCAGTATTGTAGCAGGACACACACACACACACACACACACACACACACACACATACCAGTAATGTTGCTATCGCTCTCACTGAGGCCAGAGCCCTGTGGGATTTGTGAGCTCCTCGACACCACACAAGTGACACAGTAGAAATCAAAGTGGCACACCAAAGGTCTGGGAATCACTTTAAACATCTTCTTCCACTTTTTTCCAAACTCATGAAGTTCTTGCCCTGGTAACAGGATGAAAAAATACAGTTTCCTCTCGACCTTTACCCCTGAAGGTCTCTGCCATCCTGCTGCCACCGCTGCTACAATCCTAATATTCATGAGCACTAAGGCTTAAAAATGTAGAACTGGTGTGACCTCATATGGGCATCACATGTAGAGATGGTGAGCCTGCCTGGGCACGCTAGCTGCCTGGCCACTTCCATTTGTGCATCTGTTCTCTGCATGGACAGGACCATGAGGGGCCATTGGTCTGATTCTCTCCATAATGGGACCACTTTTTGCTGTTCTAATTCAAATCCAAGGTGGCCTGGCAGATAAAAGAAGGATGTGCGTGTCATCAGGCTGAATCCTGTCTTATTCCATGTCCCCTCATTCGACACCTAGTATGGCACGCTGCCTCAACAGCTGGGGTCGGGAGAATGGGACTCTGCCTGTCCCAGGAACAGAGACTCTGGACACGATGGAATAAATTCTTAGTCACCCTGGAGCCCCAAATGGCGCACCCATAGCTTCTCCCCATCACAAAGGAGGAAGAAGATTCCTCCAAGGAGATAGGAGAAGGGCATTCCAAGCAGAGGATGCAGCCTGTAACAAGGTTTGGGGTCTAGCTATTGTATTTGGGGAACCCCAAGAACCCCACAGTGGGAGTCTGGGAGAGAGGAGGCAAAGGAAGGGGCAAACTGTTGGACAGCTCACTTTGGGGTCTATGCTGAAGGAGCTGAAAACAGAAGTTTTTACGTGAGGAAGGTACAAGAGCCCTTCCTGCCTGGGTACAGGCATGTAAGGTACAGAATAGAACCATGGAAAGATACTGACCCTGGTTATCCAGCCAGTTAACTTGGCTCTAGCCAGGAAAGAAGGGCAAGGGCTGGCCTAAGATTCTGTCTCTTTTCTTGCCCTCCCACCTCGTCTTAACTACACTATGTCCCACCCCTCCAGGGATCCAAATCATTTTACAAAATCTAAGAAAGAATGAGAGGCACAAGGTTTCACAAAGCTCTTGAGGCCTGGAGAAGCCCATCGGGTGCCTCCAGTAAGCCACCACAAACACTTCCTGGAACAGCTGCTGTCTTCTTTTGCAGTGACCTCACCTCAGTTCCTCACAGCACATCTAGGACATTTCTTCCATTACCTTGTCATTCAGAGCATCTGAAGTTCATACCAGATTAGAGAGCTGAAGCAGTCACTGTGTCCAGGAGCCTTAGTCACTGACATTCCTGGGACAAATGAAGGGTCCTGTGGTTTGGTTCCCCTTAAGTGTCTCAAAGCCCTGGACAGAGGCCTGCTTCATCCTGGGAAGAATAGACAGAACCAAGGATGGGCCTAAGCTTTGCCATGCTTCCCTCTCCTTGGCACCTACCTGGAGATCTTGGGGGTATCAATCGATATTACTGAGGCCAGAGCCCTGTGGGATTTGTGAGCTCCTCAACACCACACAAGTGACACAGTAGAAATCAAAGTGGCACACCAAAGGTCTGGGAATCACTTTAAACATCTTCCACTTTTTTTCCAAACTCACTAAGCTCCTGCCCTGGTAACAGAAGGAAAAAAAAGGTTGAGAGCTGGAGCCAGGAATCAGCTCCCAGTGGAAGGAAGCAAGCATGAGTGGGTAAGACCTGCAGCCAGAGGTGAGGGATTAAGGCTGAAGAGGGGAGGACTCAGCCAGTCTGAGGGCAGAGGCTTGGGGGAGAAAACAGGAGAGGGCCAGGCACAAGGAGGAAAGGGAGTTTTAAAGGACCCATGCTGACCACTGACCGGTCTGCAAGGAACTTTTGTCCTCATGAAGTATGCTCCAGCCTTCCCATGGCATGCCCCGAACCAATTTCATTCTCCAACTCTGTGGTGACAGGAAGAATAGTTGCAGGTTCCAGAAGGAAATTTGAATCAAAGGACATTGTAATTGCCATAGAACAAAGTATATCTGTTTTCTTGGAGTGCTGACTCAGGGACTAGGTCCATCAGCCACAAGATAGGCACCCAGAAGACGAATAGGACAAAAATCTTCCACCAGTGCTTTCATGTCTTCCCCACCTGGAAGACTGTGTGGCTGAGGCCACAGACAGCACCTGCTGCCCTCTGTACTATTGGCCTCCAGAGCTCCCCAGCCATCCATGTCCCACACCCCTCCACCCTCTCATATCTTGCCTCCCCATCCATTTTTTTACCCCCAAATCAAACACTGACTAGGCTGAGATGGAAGATGCCAGGGAAGACAATTTCTTCATCACTTACAAGGAGCTCCTCAAATTTTAGTTAGAATTATTTTTTTAAAATATATGGAGTTTTAAAATCTGGTTCTGGGCTGGCGAGATGGCTCAGTGGTCTAAAGCACCTACTTAGAACAAGCTTAGCAAAGCACAGGGACTGCGGTTCAATCCCCCAGCACCACATGCCAGCCAGCCCCGCCCCCTGGTGGGCTGAGCTGGCCACACACACACACACACACACACACACACAAATAAATAAAAATTAAAAAAAAACTGGTTCTGAGTATGGGGTGCTTAAATGAAGAAGTCTGTAATGAACAACAACAAAAAGATGCCACAGCAGAAAGATAACATATGTTGGGTCATAAATGCCCCCTGGAGGAGGGAGAGCTCAGTGCCACCCCAAATATATCACAGAGCTCATCATAAAGTGCACATTGTGATCTCCTTTATGCAGTCTCCCTGGAAAGTCACCACCCTGCCCTGTCTCTAATGCCCAAATGGCCTACACTGTATGGAAGTAAGATCCATGCAGACAGGGTCCTCCTGCCTTGTCTCTTTAAGTAGACTTCCATGTAGGTGTTTTCAGAGACATTTGACCACAAGAAGTCTGAAACTGAATTCAATTGTTTTTCTTTTAAACTAATCCTTTCCCAAGACTTCCCTACAGTGCTATGGCTTATGCACCCAAAAATTCACATGTTGAAACATTTATTCCTCAGCGCTACAGCGTTGGGAGGTGGGGTCTGGTAGAAGGTCTTGGGTCAGGGTGACAGAGCACTCATAAATGGATTAATGCCTTTCTCTTGGGAATCCGTAATGGTCTAAGCTCCTGTGGGAGTTTAGCTCCCCAGTCTTTCTTGTGTGCATGGCTTTCTCACTACTTTTGACTTGTACAATTTTTTTTTAAATTTTTATTTATTTATTTATTTATTTATTTATTTATTTTTGTGTTTGTGTGTGTGGCCAGCTCAGCCCACCAGGGGGTGGGCTGGCTGGTACGTGGTGCTGGGGGATTGAACTGCGGTCCCTGTGCTTTGCTTGGCTTAGTTTGTTCTAAGTAGGCGCTTTAGACCACTGAGCCATCTCACCAGCCCTTGACTTGTACAATTTAATAAGGCTGCAAAAAGCCCTTTCAGAGTCCAGTCTCCTAATCTTGGACTTCCTACCTTTCAAGCCATGAGCCAAAAGAAATTTCTTTCTTTTATAAATTAACTAGTCTCAGATATTCTGTTATAGCAACAAAATGGACTAAGGTGCCTCTTTACTGAAGCCAAAACCCATATATTATTCCCCCGTCTCCATGATATACAAACCCATTTGTTTATTTTTCCTAGTAATCTTCTCTGCATTGATCAGCCTTCTCACTGCTGGGACAAAATACTTGACACGCACAATTCAAGGAAGAGAGGTGTATTGTGGTTCACACTTTCAGAGGCTTCATCCTGGTTGCTTGGTTACAAGGCAGAAAGATCATGGTGGAATGGTTGGGCCAAGGAAAGCTGCTCAGCTCATGGCAGCTGAGAGAGGGAAAGGGAGAGAAGGAGGGAGAGAGGGAGAAAGGGAGAGAAGGAGGGAGAGAGGGTAAGAGAGAGGGTGAAAGGGAGAGAGGGAGGAAGAGAGGGAGAGGGAGGGAAAGAGGGAAAGAGAGAGAGGGAAAGAGCAGGAGAGGGAGAGGGAGAGAGAGAGAGGGAGGGAGGATGAGAGAGAGAAGGAGGGAGAGAGGGAGGGAGAGAGGGAGGGAGAAAAAGAAGGAGGGGGAAAGAGGGAGAGAGGGAGGGAGAGAGAAGGAGGGAGAAAGGAAGAGGGAGAGGGAAAGGAGAGCAAGAGAGTGAGAGGGAGAGAGAGGGAGTGGGAGAGAGAGAGAGAGAGAGAGAGAGAGAGAGAGAGAGAG